GGGAGGGTGTATATTCATGTTCACACTTTCATTTGAAAGCGATTGTTTTTACAGTATGTGTCACATACCGTAAAAACAATCGCTTTCAAAAGAAATCCGTCGGGCAGAACACGAATTAATATATGAATAGCCCCAATAATTATCGGTCTAGCTACGGCCCTGGCTTCTAGCAAAATCTTCGAGTTCGGCTGCCGAAACCATTGAATCGTGAGGTTAATCTTAGAAATGTTCGGAATATTCCACTTTTTAAATCACACACGAAACGGTTTGGTGATAGCTGTCTGCCATACTGCGAAAGAAAATGGAACTCTTTATAAACTATGGATTAAAAACCTTTTACCTAACATAACGTTTCAATATGACACTGCATTTATAAAATTTTGATATTTTAAAATAACTTTTTTAAAACTCTTTTTTGATTGTTGTAATTAAGTTGTTGAGTGTTTCAACTTTTATCTTCAAATATGCAACTACTTGAGCTTTAAGTCTACCATCATGCATGTGAACTGCCATTCAAGATATTAAAGTCCTATTCTATTCCTCCATTTCTTGCTTCATGCCCCGCCCCCAAATTGCGACTCTTCTCATGTAAAGCCGAAGTCCACTTGACTGAACTGGTTCACTTATTTATCTGTCTTGTCAAGCAGCTAACCTCATAATGACGAAAAGGCGATATAGACAACGATTAAAAAGAACTTCTAAGCAAGATTCCGTATTATTCCTCCTTTTATTCACCTTGGTTTTATTGTCATGGTCGTATACATTTTATACTGTACATAGGCCTTGTTCGACTGCAATGAATGACCCGTTTGAGCTACAAATTACGGTAACGTCGATTGATCTGATAAATGATTATTACCCTTTCATCGATTTCAAGTTCGTTTTCCCGGAAATTTCGCCCAAAGTTCGCAGAACACCGGACATTTTTTTGATGGTTTTGGTCAATTCTGGCGCCATGGGCGACACGTTTCGAAAACGTCGCGAGGCTGTTCGACAAACGTGGGGAAATCACAGCAACTGTGAACAAATTAAAGCTTTGGGAGATGAAACGCTGAAAGACTTAAGGTGGTTACTGGTATTTGTTGTTGGAAAAGCAGGATGGGGAACGAACGATGACGAACTAAACAGGGCTGAAGCTAGACAATACAATGATATGTTGATAGGAAATATCACAGACAACTATCTTAATAATGTTATCAAGTTGTACATGGGTCTAGCCTGGGCGAGTAGATTTGATATAAAATACATTTTGAAAACAGATGATGATGTTTACGTGCGTATACCGCGTATACTGGAATATCTTGTCAATGCTAGGTTTCCGAAACCATTCTGTGGAGGTGCGGCTGAACGGCGTTCTACTAAAGTGATTCGCGAAATTGGTGACAAATGGACAATTAGTTGGAAATACTATAATGAAACACGCTATCCAAGATATAATCCTGGTGCATTTTTTATTTTATCCAGCGATCTCCTCAATAGATTATTTAACTATGTCTATATAAGAAAACCATTCCACGTAGATGACGCATATGTTGGGGTCGCCATGCGAGATTTGGGGGTAAATGTTACGAAAATATCCTCGTTTCTTATTCAAACGAAAATGAACCAACGTATACGTAAAGCAAACCATTGTGGCATATTACGTCTACATGCATTTGGACATAATATGGAGCCAGAATCAAACAGATTTCTTGATAATCGCCTCAAGGCATTAGCTTGTGGACAAAAGCAGATTAAATGTGGTGTTCGTGTCGGAAACCACAGCGTGTCAAAAAAAAACAAGAAATCTTTATAACCAAAGAGCTCTAGCTGGTTCGATTAGTGAGATAATTACGCGGTTGTGTATAGATTAAATCTTGATGACTTATCAAGTGCTTGTCAAATGGTTGAATTTTTCAGAGAACAGTGGCGCCGCCAACAAGATTCGTTCAAACCTGATAGAATCTATTGAACTTTGTTTTAATATATAAAGCTCTATGTGTCATATGTTTTATGTTATATATATATATATATATATATATATATATATATATATATATATATATATATATATATATATATATATATATATATATATATATATATATATATATATATATATATACTTAAGATTTTGGTTTACGAAACACAAACAGTGCTCAATACCATATAGTTTTTCGTTTTACCTCAAAGAACCACAACAGTCTGTTTCATCCGTATAGGAATCATCAGGTGGTATATATATATATATATATATATATATATATATATATATATATATATATATATATATATATATATATATATATATATATATATATA